TTCAGCAGCTCAGCCAGCCCCATCAGCAATTGCCCTAGAGCACGTTCAGGCCTGTAAGACTGAAGTTCAGAGATGCTTAGAAGCAGTCCAGGAAACCACCAATTCCAATTGGATCGAATGTCAAGCACGAACCCTCCTTGAGGCCCAGGCATCGCCTCAGGAGATGCGACGTTTTCTGCGCCAGGTTCCATGGTCTGAACTAAAGGCCCCTAGTAGCGCAAGTCGGTCCATTCTTGAGAATGATAGCGCCAACTATAAGCTTCCTCCGGCTTATGTTACTTTCGGGGTATACGTGCATGGTGGGTTAACGGGAATTACGAATGTCTCCCGAGAATATCCCTACCTTACCAAGGTCCTCACTCGACTGCTTTCCGAGCTACAGCCTGAACACCCGTTCACCTCCATTTCAGTATCTTGCAACACCAAGGCTAAGCCCCATAGGGACGTGTATAATAGTCTTGAGGTTCCGAATCTAGTGATCCCCCTAGTGTATCCGCAGAGTGGAGGGGAAATCTGGGTTGCGAATCCCCCGGGTCCCAACCAACAAGCTAAAAGCCTGATGTGTGCGGGTAAGAAGCTGTCTGGAGCCCTGCGCTGCCTTCGCGAAGCGATACTGATCGATCCACACGTGTGGCACGCCACGATGCCGTGGAGCGGCAATCGTCTACTTGTGGTGGGGTATGCCTCCAAGTCGTACTTCAAGGTTGATAAAGGTGAGAACGATTGGCTTCGGGATCATGGGTTTCCCCTAGATCAAGTGGATAAGTCTAACCCAGATATCCCTAGTGGAGGAACCGCCATGTGTGCCCAAAATCCGCCTGAGGCTTCTAAGTCCCCGCTGCGTCAGGAACTTGAGGGAAGCCTTCACTTTCTTGAAGCACCCACCTTGTTCTCGGAAGCCAATCAAGCGATCGAGGCATGTTTGCAGGCCTTTAGCCATGCCCAAGTGACCAGTTGGGAAACCTTTGAAGACTCTCTTCTTACGTACAAGAAGCCCACTGAGGATCAGCTAGATGTACTAGAAATAGGTGCTAAGCCAGACAGCAGACTGACGCAGACCGTGATGGACTTCGGAGGCCGTGCACGACGATTCACTCCCCAGTCTGGAGATCTTTCGACGGTTGAAGGTCAAAGGCTTTTGTGGGATCTGGTTCAGCAGACACAGCCTAAGCACATATGGATAACTCCTGATTGTCGATTCTGGGGTTCCTGGGCTCACTTTAATGCTGCGAGGAGCGATAAGTACAATCAAGAAATGCTTGAGGGTCGCCGCCAGAGTCAGATTATCCTTCAGCTGTATGCGAAGTTGTTTGAGTAGCAGAAGCAGCATGGACGTGAGTTTCATTTTGAACAGCCTGCAGGAGCCACCATGTTACAGGAAGTCTCTCTTGCCCCTGTAGTGCGAGGAACCCACAAAATCAACGTCGACATGTGTGCTTTTGGCCTCCTGACCCCTGTAAGTAGAAGACCCATTAAGAAGGCCACCACGTTTCTGAGCACATCTTCAGACCTTACGCGTAGCCTGGTCTCGAAGCAATGCCCGGGGCAGCCAAATCATCAAACCATATCCGGCAGGCTTCGTGAGCCAGGAGGACAAACCATTTCACAATATGCTGCTTCGTACTGCTTGGGTTTCGCGCAACATGTGGCGAAGCACCTGCTGGCCACAACTGCCGAGCAAGGCATGGTGACCTCCGAAGGTGAACCAATCCTGACCCGTAAGAGGTTTAAGACTTCGGTTGGAATCCCTAGTCCCCAGGGTACCCTAGGATCCCAAAAGCGACCAGCAGATGCGACACAGGACAGTGCCCAGCGCGGCCAACCGAGCCGTCGTTTGGACGACCCGCCCAGTGTTTCTGTGCCCGCCAGCCTTTCCGAGGCTGCGTGGAAGCCCATCTTTGAGCTAGCAGCCCAGTGTAACTCCCGTGCCTCTCCCAGTCTGGTTCCGCCCCAACATGAGATACTCGCCCTACTAGAGCAAGCTTTGCCGAAATATAAGGTTCTCCAGGCGTTTGTGGGCAGTAACTGCAGAAACCTCCATCACCCCCTAGGAGCCTTACCCGCCACTGTGGCTCCGATGCGAGTGAGCGTTGCCGCAATTTCCTTGCCACACGGGGGAATAGAGTTTAAGAGCTTAGGGGAAGAGGTTCGATCAAACATGACAAATGCACAAAAGCGGGCACGGATACCGACGGTGCGACAGCTCCTGACTGTCTTTGCTCAGCAGCGATCAGCTGGGGACCCGTCTGCCCCAACCAGTGATCTCGGAGAAACTACTCTCCCAAACCTTGAGGGCTGGGCACCACCTCCTGTTCCCCTTCATGGTCCTGCCTACCGTAATCTAAATCCTGAGGAAAAGACCGAGCTTCGCCGTGCACACGTGAATCTAGGACACCCGTCACCGGAGGTGCTTGCACGCCATTTGCAGGCAGCAAAGGCTGATCATCGTTTGATTGCCGCTGCTCGCGAGTACCAATGTGACTCCTGTCTGGAGTCGACGCAGCCGCTTCACCAACGGCCTAGTAAGCTCCCGGTAATCAATGAGTTCAATGATTTGATCGGGGTAGACGGTTTTTACTTTAAGAGCAAGTCTGGATATCGCACGTACGTTCTTCATGCCATTGATGAAGCGAGCTGTTTTCAGCAAGGGCGCCGAGCCACTTCCAGACACGCCTCCGATGCTCTCCAGGCACTTAATGACTTCTGGATCAGTTGGGCTGGACCTCCTAAGCAGGTGTATTTAGATCCGGCAGGAGAATTTCGTTCGGAAGAAGTGCTAGAGCATTGTCAGGGAATGAATATTAAGACTCATGTCACTGCCTCGGCATGGCAGAGAGGGCGTCTGGAAAGGCATGGTGATATCATCAAAGAAATGCTTGAACGAATGGACATCAGCAATCCTGTCATCAACGATTCTAGCTTCGATCAGGCCTTGTTACATTGCATACTTGCCAAAAATGCTTTAGTGCGCCATGAAGGGTATTCACCCGAACAAATTGTGTTTGGCAAGGCCTTGCGAGTTCCAGGTAGCTTGACATCGGACGATGACCTAACCTCCCACGCCCTGACCGAGGGAGTTGAGCTAGAGGCTATACGTCGGCGTTTGGACATTCGTTGCCAAGCCCGGAGAGCATTCCTTGAAGCCGATAATTCACAGGCGATTCGGCGAGCCGCGCTCCGAAGAAGCACACCGCTTCGTGGGCCATTCATTCCGGGAATGTGGGTGTTGTACTGGACCAAGAAGAGCTCCCCTAATAGACTGGCAGCGGGTCGCTGGCATGGGCCAGCTAAAGTAATCTGTGCAGAGGGTAAGTCTATTGTGTGGGTGGCCCACGGCACGACTGTCATCCGGAGTGCTCCCGAGAATCTTCGACCGGCATCCCTCCGCGAGTGGCAGAGCTAAACCGATTCACAGCTGGAAGAGCCGTGGAAGAATGCTGGAGGAGCGAGCTCCTTCGTTGATCTGACAGGTGTTTCGTCTGATCATGCTGAGCCTGTAGTGGCTTCTGGTCCGGGCGCTCCACCTAATCCCGTAGTCTTGGAGCCCACACCGGTCATCGCGCCATCCGCTCCCCATGCCTCAACCGCACCCGTGGAAGATCTTGGACAACCGGAACAGGAGCTCACCCCCCAGGTGAGCCAGGAAACACCTGAAGTTGAGCGCCGCTCTGCTGCTGCTCCTTCTGTGGATCCAGTTTCCGCTGCTGTACCTAATGCAGAAACCTCTGTTATCAGTCCACCTGAGCCCCAAAACATTCCAGTTCCTGGATCCGATGAAGGACTGATCTCTGATGAGGTGTACTTGTCCTGTGAAGAAGCTGGATTCCACGATGAATCGGGGTCCGAGTTCTCGCACTTCATGACATTGCAGACCGGAGACTCCTCCACCGCTCCTTTAGCCGAGGATAATTTGCCCTATGTGATGGAGCCTTTGCACAATTCTCCAGAGCAAGCATATTGTCTAGAGGTTCCCCTAAAGCCTAAAGAAGTTAAGCGATGGAGGAATTAAAAGTCTGCTGGAGACCTGGTTGCCGTTGCCGCTGCCATGAAGCGGGCACGCACTGAGGTTTGTCTGAAGGACTTGAGCGCCAAGGAGTTGACTCTCTTTGATCAGGCCAAACAAAAAGAAATCAACTGTTGGATTCAGACATCGGCTATCCGGGCCATTCTTCGTCGAACGTTGAATCCAGAACAGATCCTCAAGTCACGATGGATTCTCACGTGGAAAGCTCCCGAAGTCGGTGAGACCCAACAGCGTGCTAAGGAACGCTTAGTGGTGCTAGGCTTCCAGGACCCTAAGTTGACTGAAGTTTCCCGTGATGCCCCAACCCTGTCCAAGGAAGGTAGATCCATTGTCCTTCAGACGATTGCCTCCATGCGTTTTCAGCTGAGCTCTTTTGATATCAAGACCGCCTTCTTGCGTGGAAAGGCAGATGCAGCAAATCCCTTGGCAATGGAGCCACCTAAGGAACTTAGGAAGGCTCTTGGTTTAAAGGATAACGAAGTTTGTGAGCTCCTAGGAAATGCTTACGGTCGGGTCGACGCGCCTCTTTTGTTTTACAAAGAGTTGTGCAAGCAGCTGTTTGCCTTAGGATTTACGCGCCATCCACTGGAACCATGTGTTTTCATGTTGTATCAAGAGAGCCGACTGAGAGGAGTGCTTGGCATGCATGTTGATGATGGAGTCTGTGGAGGAGATGAGGTTTTCAAAGGTAAGATTAGTGAGCTTGAAAAAACTCTGCCGTTCGGCAGTGGCTAATCCTTTGGACATCTTCGAAGTGGCTGGGAGCCACTCACTTGCATTCATCTTTTGATCTATTGGCAGGGCCAAGGGCTACCAGGGTGGGACTTTACCAGTCTCACAACCCTAAAGCCTAAACCCTAAACCCTAAAACCCTAAACCCTAAATCCTAAAACCCTAAACCCTAAACCCCTAAACCCTAAACCCTAAACCCTAAAACCCTAAACCCTAAAAAAAGCCCAAGCCGTGTAGGTCAGGCCTCAGCCTCCCCCAGTGCGAGCTCGGATTGCCGGGAGCTTTCCTAGGAAGAATCTGATCTGTGAAGGGTTTAATCGGCTTTTTGCCGGCTTGACAGGGTTTGATGTCATGGGGCTTGATCTGGCTTTGTAGGGTTTAATCTGTTTTGACAAGCTTGATCTGTTGTTTGTTTTTTGTTTCTAGGGTTTAGGTTTTGCTCTGATTTTGTAGGGGTTTAATTGCAGGGTTTTGAGGGGCTTTATGTGGGAATGGCAGGATTTCCTTGGACTCTGCTTGATGTGATGAGGGCTGTATAGAGTCAGCACAAGCCTTTGAAAAGATCGATAAAGTTGCGTCGGAGTATGGAAACTTGGAAGCCTTGATGAGGATTTATAAACGACATATTACTACTGGTGATAACAATGCTAAGGATTGGTAATAATAACACTAGTAAAAATACTATCTGTAAATAGTAATACTGATGTTAACACTATATAACATGAATAGCTTGTGAAGATGCTCCTCGTGATCCGAGCCTGAAGGGCTTTCGACGGTTTTTTGCTTCAGCCTTCAAGGTTACAGTAGGGTTTAAGATTATTTTTCAAAGTGTACTGGCTATGTCTCCCTAGTCTGTCTTTACAGACATACACTGTGTGAAAGGGTTTAAGATTTAGGGTTCAGGGTTTAGGCTATCAGCGCTTGCAGTGCCGCGACTACTGACTACTGAGCTTGCGCTGGATCAGAAGCTTCCTCTGGCAGTTGGCAGTGCGCAAGGGCTGCAGACAGGATTGGACGATAGGATTCATCATCGTGGGTTCTCGGGTCTTGAGGTTTACAGTTTACCGGGTAAGTAGCTTAATAGCCTGAGAACGGTATTGTAGCAGCTATAAACAGCAAGAATGCAAACAGACAAGCAGCATCATAGCAACGTCCAAACTAGTAGCAGTATGGGTGACCATCATAGTAGTACCTGGCTTTCACATACTGGCATTGCTACTCTCAGAGTAGCAGATGACAATGCTGGTCAGACCCAGGACAGCCTTGATAACAACAAAACAACAAAATGGAGACGGCACCAATCCTGCCAGCAAGGGCTGGTGTAGAAGCGAGAGCAAGACAACAATGCTAGGACTACAAGCGGCTCCTTTTCAGGGAGTCGATAACAAGGATACTACTGTTGAAAGTTCCTGCTTTTTAGGATCTGAATTCGGGTCCCATGTGTTTCTCTGATTCTGCAACTCCAATTTACCAAGAGGCCCCATAGTAGTTCCTTTTGGGGATTACCTCATAAGATTCTAAATGTGAGCCCCCAAAAGGAATTATTATGGATCCCTAGATCCCTAAAGCCTGTAAACCCCCTTATAGATCCCCTGATAGATCCCCTTATAGATCCCTTTATATAAAGGAACCCAAAAACCCCTAAATCCCTACTATCGGGCCCTTACGGTTAGGGTTTAGGGTGAGTTATCAACTCCGCTGCAGCTGCGCGACCAAGGCCCTCGACAGCTCCACTCGCTGGAGGTGATCGGCTCCTTGAAGCTTCACCTTCCCAAAGGGTCCAAGTATCATTGTGGTCTATACGTTTAGGGTATTGTTGTGGTCTAAGTATATACCATAGTGATACTTGGACCCTTTGTGCTTCAAGAGGTTTAAGGCTTAAGGCTTGCAGCCTAGAGGTCTAGGATTTAGGATTTAGGGCCGTGAAGGCCTTAAGGCCTCCATGAAAGTTTCATCAGCCTTGGCCAGGGCTTCACAAAGGTTTTGCGTGGATTTAGGGCCATTGGGCTCCAGGGGCTCATGCTTCGAAGCTTGCTTAGAGGATCATGGGACTTAGTAACTAGGGTTATGATTAAGGTAACTATACTGATAATTACATATAGCCCCAATTACGGTACTTATAACCATACTTACTAAGTCCCATGATCCTCCAAGTAGGCCTGTTGGCTTCAGGATGCCTTAGGGACGGGGTCACTGGCAGGTTTGAGATGGGCTCGTCGGGTTTACCGCGTGGAGGATCCAAGACCCAAGCCAACTTCTGAAGAGCTGAACATCTTCTGCATACGTGCGGGTAAATCGATGTTCGCTGGTTTTAAGGTTTAGGTGCTTGTTTACAGTAATGATACCCGGACCCAAAAGCGAAATCTTGCACTCCACAACAACGTGCAAGGTATTTACAACGAAAAAGAACACCGACACCAACCTGCTCATGGCAGTGACACTATTCAGTGATTGAAACACACTGTAAACATTCTGATATGTCAAGTATGTTGTGACACGCAGTATCCGTCGTATCTATCAATGTGTTGACTCATTACTGCACTCATTGTTTGTGTAGTTAGACATCGCATCGTAGGATCCCTGACCCCAGCTGATGTCATGCTGAAGAATCAGCTTTCGTCTGCCACAAGTGCCGTGCTAGTCTATATCAGATGGGAGTGTCCGCAAATAGGAAACTCTAATATATTACCCTAAATAATAGGATCCTTAATTACAAGGACCCCAAAATAAGATACCCCTCTTTTCGGAAACTCCCAGAGTGCGCTTTTCATGCATACGCGCCGCAAACGTACGGTGTCGACTCACAGGCTCACACATGATATAAACTTGTACAACCCCCCCCCCCCCCCCCCCCCCCCCCCCCCCCCCCCCCCCCCCCCCCCACAACCGTCGCAAAATTAGCAAACCCACCATACCCAAAGTATATTATGCTGTTGTGGCCAAAACCCCAAAGGGTCCGAGTAACCATATAGTATATACTTTGGTGTACAAAGTACCGACTATAATGGTGCTTGGACCCTTTGGGAATATTTACTAAGAATCTAATGGTACTTGGACCCTTTGGGACAGATCATAGGCGGCCTTGCTCCTCATCAGCGCAAGCCTCGTGTCCGTCTGGGCAATGGCCTCCTTGTCAAGCAGGCTTTGCAGTGGAAGCTTTCCGTAGAGGCCTTAAAGATTGATTGACGATTGTGAAAACGAATCAGAAGAAAAGTACCAGATTCTACGAGCTCAATGGGCTTGGGGTTCAGGCTTCATTACAGGCGCATCTCTCAAGTTCAGGGCTGTAAGCCGGGGTGCTTATGATGCGAGTGCTTATGAATTACTGGGGTTTTGGGACCTTTAGGGTTTCAGAGGAACCACTCAAAAAAACCCTAAACCCTCAAACCAAAACCCTAAACTGAACCCAAAACTTAAACCCTGAAGCCCCAAACCCAACACCTTAAACCCTACAGTGAGGTGCCGAGGCACCTTAAGCTCCGTGACTTCATCCCGGAGATGGCGAAGACCTTCCTGAGAAGAGCGAGAGACCTAAAGCCCTGAACCCCTAACCCCTAAACCCTAAACTCCTAAACCCCAGTACAGGCACCCTAAACCCCTAAAGCCCTACTTAAGCCCTGCACCCTCAGGAAGCCTGAAACCTAACCCTCGAACCTTAAACTGATCTGGCTGTTTGGCGCAGAGTTTACGGCGAAGTTCGAGAAGTCTTCGATTTTCCAGAGGAATCCCGCCCTTTTCTTCCGCAAGGGTTTGGTTTAGGTTCCCTGATAATTACAATGGGGTTTTGAGGTATACTCTTATACGGTAGTACTACAACACACTACGGAGCAGTACGTATAAGGATTCTATGATAGTAGTATATAGGAACACTAGAGAACAGTGTTGGTACTTCTTCAGGCTTCTACGTGGGCTCAGGGTTTAGAGTCCAGAGGCCCAGGCCAGTCTGCAAAGCATAGAGAGGGCGGCATGATCAGAACAGGCTGGGGGTTGGGGGGGGCGGTATATTAAGGTATTGTAGGGTCTAGGGTTTAGGGTATTGTAGACTATATCGGGGTAGCACATACTATTTCCTCAAGCTCCTGTATTACTAATTTTTGTCCCGGAAGCTGCAATCTGAGTGCCCGAAGATGGCTCCCAGTACCTCGCATCGGGGAGGTCACTGAGGAGACTGGGCGAAGCAGGAGTCAGACAAAGTTGCAAGTCCCGCTGGCCATGGGCTCTGAGATGAAGAAGCGACTGATCAATTTTGTAGTTGCCACCATGCAGCAGCAAGATCAACAAGCGAAGTGTAATGGTTGACCCCGGACGCTGAACCCTGAAGAGCGATGTTGCGCTGAAGTCTCATGCCAAACCGGGCACGTGTCGCTGTGGGAACTGCGGAAAGCGTTTCCGGCACCAATTGCCGCCTCCGCATGTGTAAGACGGCTGATGGCTTCACATTACGGTATCATGGCTTCGATTGGGGTAAGGGTATCGTTGTTGGGCAATCTGCAAAGGATTGCATAGTCAATTTCTGAAATTAAGGGTACCTTAGTTTGGGGTTCTTATAAGAAGGATCCTACTATTTAGGGTACTACATTAGGGTCCCCTATTTTCTGAACTGATTTGGAGGATATTGGTCTCCAGCCGGGTTTAGGGTTGCACCGGTTCGACGCAGACGTGCCAGACTCAGCAGTCCAACACGCCGTGCTAGCACACATGGGAGTTTCCGAAAATTATGGATACCTTATTTTGGGGCCCTTATAATAAGGGTCCTACTATTTAGGGTACTATATTGGAGTCCCCTATTTTCGGAAACTCCCACATGTACCCAATGTGACCCCAGATTCGATACCTTCTCACCCCCTGCAAGCAGTAAATTGTGCATTTTGGGGTCCTTATAATAAGGATCCTACTGTTTGGAGTACTATATTAGGGGCACACATTTGCAAGTGCCAGAGCTTCGACCAGTCTGTGGGCATCAAGCGAAGCAATCAGACCAAACTTGCATAGCCTGGTGGCTATGCAAGGCTCAGGAGTGAAATTCACAGGAAGCCTTGGGAACAAGCAACATCACAACGTGGCGCGATCATCGGAGAAGTAGTGCTGAACATGAGACTTGCGATCATCATCACCAGTGTCAATACAATCGAGTACTACTTGGAGGATCATGGGACTTAGTAAGTAAGCTTATAAGTACCTTAATTGGGATTATAAGTAGCTATAAGTATAGTTGGCCGAATTCTAACCCTAATTATTCAGTCCCATGATCCTTTAAGTAGAAGCAGGCAGATTCCCTGAGCCCTCAACCTCACGGTCCTGGTCAACCCGAGATCATCGAATCAATCAGAAAATAGCTGAGAATAATAATGTGGAAGCCTGGCTAATTTGCAGTATTGTTCCCTAGAGTTCCTTACTGTTATTGCGCATGACAATTATCTACCCATAAACATCCAATTCAAATTTTCAAGCCCCCTGTACCTAAGATCCCATCAGAACTCTGTTTGATAACCCTCGAAAGGAACCGTATCCGAACTATCCAGGCCCCTGTAGTAAACCCCAGGTAGCCTTGGCAAGCTGTGCTGCTTCTACCTCAGCTGCTGGAAGACCAGCCACGTGCATAATAGACTGGAGGCAATTTTCATGAACAGATCACTAAATAAGTCAACAACAATGGAAGAATCTACACAACATGTGACATGCACACACAATCAGTATACATATATAAATATACATACACAATCATACACACACACATGAGACACACACATGCATGTATGTGTAGTCGAACCTACACTGTATATGCAGAACGTGCAATGACAATGTAATTATAGTTTAACAAAGAACCTGTGTTCTGTAGCCACATATGTAATTTGCATCTTGGCGGGTGCAAGGTGGGCTCCTGCGACCAAGCGTCTGTCTCTTCATTATGAACAGCCTCTGTGAACAATTTTGGGTTAGTGGTTGAGCTGGCGATGGCTCAGTCCTACTGCATTGCAGCACTGCGCGAGGGAGTGGTTCGACTCCCTTAATGCTAGGTTGTGCTCTTTGTCAGTCTCGGCCACACGGCATGAATGGAATAATGGTAGTACTAGTAGCTATAATTGTACCCCATTCCTCCATTCCCTACTAACCAAAGGTACGTTTTGACACGTGACTTGCCCTTCCGACCCCTGTCAAGTCTTCTACAAGTAGGACTGCAAACCTCGTGATCCGGCCCGAACCCCCAAAACCAAACTGAACAGCTCCCTAAACCTCGTGCCATCATCTCCTCCTAAAAACCCGAGGCGGACTCCTAAAGTCCTAAGCCGTGTATTCGGGCACGGTATAAGATGCTGAGACGTATCGTGTTGCTGGCATGAAGCTTGTCTCCCGTGGGTATGTAGCGACATTGCCAACATCACTGCTGATGTACTGCTTTGGGACTTTTTCCAGGTTGCTTCCGACTGCCACTGGCCGCGGAGACGCGCACCCAGCTCTTGAGCCTGTTGATTGTCCCGGAAGAGGGTGGATCGGAGCTCAAAGGTTTAAGGGTTTCGGGATCCGGTGCCTTCACCCTTAAAATTCTAAACTGGGCATTACTGATTTTCCGAGAATAGGGGACGCTAATATAGTACTATAAATAGCAAAATCCTTATTATAAGGACCCCTACCCCTAACTTTCGGAAACTCCCATTTCTGGTTCAGATGAAGACGGCAGGAGTCTCGACAACATATGCCTTCATCTACACGTCATGCCCTCTGCGGCAGGCTTTCAGTGGCCAAGACATATTAGGGCCTGACAGAGTATATAGAGACATACTATACGACGGTCCTCTGGGAAAAGGGTACAACATTACTGCCTTAAACTACCAAACCCTACTTTTTTGTAGGTTCTTATTATAAACCCTTATATGGGATTTTTTGGGGACCCTACAAAAAAGTAGGTTTTGGTAGGTTAAGGTGACCATTCAAGCTTCTATACGAGTCCGCTGCAGTTGAACGATGAACCCTAACCCCTACACACCCTGAAACCCCAAATCCCCAAACCCCTAAACCCCTAAACCCAAAAACCCAAAAACCCCTAAACCCTGAAACCCTACACCTCTAAACTCCAACCCTAAACTCCTAAAACCCTAAACCCAAGCGGGAGGGCCTCGTCTCGGAGCTGAATGCCTTCCCTCAGCTTCTGCGAAGAGACCGAAACCTCCAGGAGGGTCGACGATCCGCTTCAGGGGTTTAGGGGTTTAGGGTTGAGGGGTTGAGGGGTTTAGGGGTTGAGGGGTTTAGGGGTTTAGGGGTTTAGGGTTTGGGGTTTAGGGTTTCGGGTTGAGGGCTTTAGGTTTTGGGGTTCAGGGTTCAGGCTTTAGGGTTGAGGGTTTAGTTTTTTTCCTATCGGCTCCTAAGAAGCGTTGGGTTTCGGCTTAGGGTTGAGGGTTTTGTTTTTTGTAATGGGCTCCTAAGGAGGTGTAGGGTTTTGAGCTTCTCTGCGGTGTCCAGGGCTTCAGGGTTATTATACAGGCTGCTTTAAGGCTTTAGGAATTGTGTGAGGATATGGCTTTAGGGTTACTATGAGGGTTACCTCGAAGGGTGTACTTGTGTCCAAGGTTTACCGTACCAACATGCACCCACTCTCGAGAACTCTGTCTCTGTCTCTCTATGTGTGTGTATATATATATATACACATATTAATATAGATGTATGCCAGTGCATCTACATCGACGTTCCCTGATGAGTACAGACATCCTTTCCCTCGGTTTATGTTTCATAGTTGGCGTACTGCGGAGGGGAGGTACATATGAGGGCCTTGAATGTTAGGACAGGATTTTGGGGTGCAATATCCTATGATGATGCGCCGATATCACAGTTGTCGTTTTTGCTTCCGGGTTTGAGGCTTAAGACAGAGAAGCACGTGTGTGAAAGCGATGTATTCGCCAGCCAAGCGGCAGTCCCGGCAGATGCGCGTAAACCCTACAAGCCCTCCACCCTCAACGCTGAGACGAGATCCACCCTAAGCCATTAAAACCAGCTAGCAATTCCGAAAAAGCACTGGGCCGCATTAAACCAGGCTATCCTGAAACCGCAATCCAGCAATTATGGATCCGACCTTGGACACATAACGGCCCCGTAGCAGTCATAGAAGTGATGATCATAAGCATATGGGAGATTCCGAAAATAGGGGACCCTAATACAGTACCCTCAATAGTAAGATCCTCATTATACGGACCCCCCAAAAAGTTACCCCTAATTTTCGGAAACTCCCATGTTTTGCGGCAATGCTTATGTTGCTGTGCCGCGCGTTGGGTGTTTTAGCTTTCTAGGATACCCAGTAACCTAAGAATAAAACGGCCTCTCTTTTTGGTATTGGGTAACTTCATAAGGAGCCTAGGACTACAAAAAGGGAATAAGGGTACTACTGGGCATCCTAGCGTTCTTTGTCGCATCCGGTGCTTGAGACTTTGGAGCCTCTTGCTCTTCCCAAGATGCTTTGACATTACAGGGAACTCCAGAAAGTTGGAATATGGTTTCAGGGTAGGATATCTTATAATTTACCATAAAGGGTTTAGTAGAATCATATTCCAACTTTCTGGCTTTTACTATAGTATAGGGGCCTTACTAGTTATAATAGGGTTCCTTCTAAAGGGATCTATAAGGAGGGTTCTACAATGTAGGGGCCTTAATAGTTTTGGCGGCCGATTATGCTATAAGTATCATAAGGAACCCCCACAATAGTCTAGGTAATTATCAAGGCCTCATATTCAGTGGTTAGGTTTTAGGGTTGTGGCTTCTGGACCTGGGCTGGTTTAGCGTGCAGGGGTCCCCGGCTCAGGCTGCAAGCAGCTCTGCCCAGCATCCAAAAACCGGATGTCCAGCTTAAAATCCTAAATCCTTCAACCCTGAACCCTGCAACCCTAAGCTCTCAAGCCCTGAAAGCTCTAAACCTCGAAAGGGGCGAATGTAGAACAGACATAAAATTATATACCCCCAAAACCCTAACCCGATTGTAAATTGTAGGCGCCAGAAACCATTCATACAACTAAAGAACCCTTTATAAGAACCCTCTAATTGAAGGAACCCTACTCCGACTATCAAGGCCCCGAATACTAAGGACAAAGACCTCCCGCGCCTCGTTGTGAAGAGCTTCCTTCTCCGCTTGCACGGTCTGAGGGCCGGTTGGTGTAGGGGCCTTAATAACTGGATAGGGTTTTGGGGGTTCCTTACTATACTTACAGTATATTGTATCCCCAAACCCTAAACCCTAAACCCTAAACCGCCTGTTCTAATTCTTAAGTCGGGTTGCCGGGTCTTCGTCTCTGGGTTCCAGGGGCTTATGGAACCCCAAACCCCCCCCCACACTTCCGAAAAAATACAAGTTCTACTTGGAGCTTCATGGGCAGCTATAAGTGCGGTTATAAGTACGGTAACTATAATTGTAACCCATATTAGGGGACTTCTAACCCCAGTTATAACTACCCATGAACCTCCTAGAAGACCCTAAACATCCCTAAACCCTATACCCTTCTAGACTCCCTACAGATCCCTTTAAAGGGACCCTTAAAGGAACCATTAGAACTACCCTAAACCCTAAACCCGGAGCCCGTGCATCGAGGTGAAACTTCGCAGTTCTCCATCCGAGATTCGGGCAGGAGATTCTGGGTTTTAGGGTTTTTTTTAGGGTTTAGGGTTTAGGGTTTAGGATTTAGGGCTTAGGGTTAGGGCTTAGGGTTTTAGGGCTCAGGGCTTAGGGTTTAGGGTTTAGGATTTAGGGTTTAGGGTTTAGGGCTTAGGGTTTTAGGGCTTAGGGTTTAGGCTCTGAAGGTCGAGGGGCTTTGGTTTTCTGATTTTCTTTAGGAAGCTAAGGGTTCAGGGGAAAGCCGTAGACCTTGAACCCTAATATAGGGACCTTATTAATTAGAATAGGGTTTTGGGGACCATTATGCTATAACTACAATAAGGAACCCCCAGAATAGCATTGGTAATTACTCAAGCCCCTATATTACACCCTGGTGGCTCAGGGATGGACGTCCTCAGTCTTGGCTATGTTGCTCTTCTGCGAGGCAAGGAGCCATGTTTTTTGTGACATGTGGGGTTGCCGAAAACTAGGATCCTGCTATAATACACTGTAATTTATTACTACCCTGTTATGCCCTCTTATAGCTTATTGCAGCATGTTATAGTAGATTATCGTATGCTGTAAGACAAAGAAGTCTGAGGTAATGTTTGCTAGACCTCCCTGCAGCCTTAATTCAGCATGAAACAATGACCTCAATAGATAGAGCTGGGGTCTTGGTCAATATAGCATATATACAACAAGGAACCGCAGTCAGCAGTATCACCGACTGTTCCGACCCAAATATTAGACCCACGACTGACGCCAGTACCGTAGAGGACTTAATAATTTGAATAGGGTTTGGGGGCCCACTATACTGTATATGTAATACGGAGCCCCCCAAAATAGTATTGGTTAATTATTAAGACCCCCCACATAATAGAACCCTACTCTAGATCCCTTATACTAGCCCTTATAGACCCCTTTAAAGGAACCCTACTCTAATTATTCCTATAGTACTATACCCCCTTAGAACCATAATAAAACAAACCATTCTTAATATTCTCTTATATGAACAGAAAAATTTTTCCTAAGGAGACTACAGAGTACCGGCTATGGCGGCCTGCAAGGAAGCCTCTGTCGCAGCAACCTCTTGCCTGTCGGATCGCGGTCAACAATCAGTGACATAAGGGGCCTTAAGGATTCGAATAGGGCTCCTTAAAGGGTTCCTCTTAAAGGGCTCCATAAGGACGACTATAAGGGATACAATAAGGGTTTATCGAATAGGAGTCAGAATCATAGCAAGGAGCCCAACTGAATTGTATCTTTTCTGGATTAAGGGTCAATGTTTAAATACGGGCCCCCAAGCTTTGTTTAAGCTGAAACCGAGTTTATCGATGATTCTTGGATGTCAGGAAATCAGAGCCCTAAAATCCTAAATCAGGGACTGGAGCTGGCAACCGCTGTAGGTTTGGCAAGGGCAGAACAGTACTTGGAGGTTCGTGGGTAGTTATAAGTGGAGTTATAAGTCCCCTAATATGGGCTATGATTATAGGTACCCTACTTATAACCCCACTTATAACTGCCCATGAACCTCCAAGTATGCATGGCCCTCCACACTGCACTTCGCAGCAGCTCCCGTGCCTGAGCTTGTCCGAAGTTTTCTGCGCAACCTCCTGCAAAGTTAAGACAGCTTTACGACTTATCGGTTCAAGGCACAGAGTTCACGGACGAATTCAATGGTTTCGGTCCGTAAACCCTAAACCCTAACAGAAGGCAGCTCCAGAAGCCGAACTACATGCTGCTCCCGGCGTGCAAGTTTCTGCGACTCAGCAGGTGACTACTTTATTGTCCTGAGTTTTGGGGTATGCTATACTATATATATATATATAGATATATATATATATATGCTCACCCCCCCCATTGACAGACCATGGCCTTGTGACACTGTACTCTTGGCAGGTGACTCGGCTGAGATATTGTATCTAAACACACCACACCCGACGATCACCTGTAAAGTAAGACATTCAAGTAGATATACAACGTATACTTCGACATGCCATGTACTGAGGACGCATGCACCAGACGTGCGGCACATGAGTTACGCAATAGTTCTGTGGTAGTATGGGTATTAGGGTGAGTATTATCATTAAAATTAGTACTATTGTTTGCTGTAAGTATACATATCAATATTGCCAACTATAAATTAGTGTAGTTGCTCATGTCCGTGTTAGTTAGAGTTAGCGCTAGTGCCAGTGTCAATGTCAATAATACAGCACCACTGCTACGAGTAGTATCAGTATCAGTCTTAATGCTGGGTTTAACAGCAGCTTATATTCGCAGAAGTGCTAGTATTAGTTTCAATATTAGAACTAGTTAGTTTTGATATGTTAGTATACTGACAGTCTCGTATATTAGCAGATTAGTATATCAATACATCCATGTATTCGAACAGTAAAATATCTGCATACTTGTATACTAGTATATTTTACATGTTAGTACAACTGGTGCATGAATACACTACTATATTGCTGTATTAGCTTATTAGTATATTGACATACCCAGTACATTCGTACGTTAGCATATTAGTATACGAGTATGTGTACTATATTACTGTTTTTATCTAATCATTTATAAGTATATCAGTATGTTGGCATATTAGTATCCGAACTTGTCATGTCGGTATTCTTGCATAGTGCAGTAGTCGTATATGAGTATAGTCACATATTCGTATAGTATATTCATACAACAACGAGAAGTAGATTGTTACATTGGTATATGGGTATATGCCTATGCCAAAGCATTAATACATGAATGCACTGATGTATATATCTGTATCTTAAGATAGCGGTATGTATTTTATGTACATTAGTATATGCAGGTGTCTATTAGTAATGATATTAGTTTTCATAACAGTATGAATATACCATTGGTATTCGTAGGAGTATTAATGTCAATATTATTAGAATTAGGACTATTTATACTCGTATTAGCCATAATATGAGTGTTCATGCTGGTAATACTAGTGGCATTCTTGAATATTCAGCAGATTATCAAAGTCCGTATTAGTGTTGGTGATAGCACGACTGTTAACGCACAAGAGTTTGCGTATTCGTATTCGTAGGAGTATCAATAGCTATGTGTTAAGTTGTTAGCGTTAGTACTATTAAATTATTGATGATCTACATTCACAAGAATGTTTGTATTAATTAGTACTACTCTTGCTCACGTGAAAATACTAACAGTTGAATACATGAGTGAGTTAAAGGATTTGTATTTGAATATAGTGGTATGCATATTTATGTACATTAGCACATACAGGTGTGTGTTAGTATTGGTGTTAATATACACTATTACCAAGGTGAACATGATTATTGATATGCGTGCCTTGCCCTACTGTGACGTCATATAGTACTATACCCCCTTAGAACCATAATAAAACAAACCATTCTTAATATTCTCTTATATGAACAGAAAAATTTTTCCTAAGGAGACTATAGAGTACCGGCTATGGCGGCCTGCAAGGAAGCCTCTGTCGCAGCAACCTCTTGCCTGTCGGATCGCGGTCAACAATCAGTGACATAAGGGGCCTTAAGGATTCGAATAGGGCTCCGAAAGTGACATTAGTTCTGGTCCGATGCGGAGACTAGCTCGATGAGGCGCGCGGGTGTCCCACCAAGAAAGGAATTACAGAGCACATGTGTATGGATGAGGGTTGTGCTGATACACTACATAGTAAGCATTACATAGTAATCTCACTTGAGTCATGTATAGAACAGATTCCAGCATTTCCAAATTTCCAAAATTCTCTTCCATATCTTTCCGGATTTCAAAAATTTCCAAAATTTTCAAAATTTCCGAAATTTCCAAAATTTCCAAAACGGCCCGACCTAGTCGACATGATTTTTCCAAAACATCTGGGCGGACTTTTTGGAAATTTCGGAAATTTTGGAAATTTCGGAAATTTCGGAAATTTTGGAAATTTTGGAAATCCGGAAAGTTAGGGGAGAGAATTTTGGAAATCCTGGAATTGAGTTTTTGAAAGCTGAGTGCCCCCTCCCCCCGATCACAGACCATGCACTACGACTGAGTTGAAAGGGCATGGTCTGTCAACGGGAGGGGGGTGACCATATATTATATATACTCATAGAAAGGAACCCCCACAACCTTATTCTAACTAAATACTAAGGGCCCCTACATTACAGCATCGCATGAACGCACAGGAGCACATGGCGAGAAGCCACATAGTACGCGAAAGAGCCACGGCGTCCTCCCGCTCCAATGCTGTGGCGAGAAGACCATGTGACTGGCGAAGCGTAACGACAGCCTGCTCGCACAAAATACAGGTCCCCTTCTATCCTACGCTCCTGTGCAGCCTTAGCTTGAACTGCGAAAGCCCTTGGTATTATAAGGACCCAAATAACTACCATTACTATTTTTGGGGTTTCCTTATTATAACTAGAGTATATGGGCCTCCAAACCGTATTCTGGACCTCGGCCTGAAAGGTGAGAACCAAGCATGGCAGGGGCTGTCAGACATACGCGGCCTTCCATCATGGTAGAGTCTACCAGTACGAAAAAACTACTACTACTACTACTACTACTACTACTACTACTACTACTACTACTACTACTACTGCTACTGCTACTACTACTGCTACTACTACTACAAATACTCCTACTACTCCTACTACTCCTACTACTCCTACTCGTCCTCCAACGATTTTGCCATGCTACTATATAGTCTCTGAACACTATCACGGAGGATCTTGCTCTTCTTCTTTTTCTTCAGGATCTGTATTTTTCGAGTCTCACCGTGTCTGGTTTCAGAACCGAAGTTGTGAACATGCCTTTGGTGCAGAAATCCCTCTCAGAGTTCTCACAGACTGACACACATATGTAGGTATGTCTATATGTAGATGTATGTCTGTGTCGAGCTCTAGGTCATATGTCATAGGACTGTCATAGGTCATAAGTCTACGTCTAGGTTTGTCTCCACGTCTAGGTACCCAACTACGTATGTAAGTACTTGCATATTTAAAGTTTATACACACACACATCAGCATGCTCAAACTCCCCAAACAGCTCATCCCCCTTTAAACTTTCAAGTCAACGGGAGGAGATGGGTATTAAAGCTACTGAAGCTTCGGCCTCGGCCTTCAATAGTGCCATCCTGAAAAGAAACAACCTCTCGCGGCCCTTCTGCCGTATCATATTACGAGATACTTGTAGATGCCCACTTGGATGCAGATAGTGTGTTCCGAGCACTCAATGACACCGCAGCCACCAGTTCAAGTTCCCGCGGGCCCCACTCACAGTACCTTAGAGCTCCAGCTACCTTAATTATGAGCTGCTGGGTTTGCTGGTACACGGATGGGAACCTACGATTTATATAGGCAACTGGAGCTCTACCCACCGTAACTTGAACCGATATCGTTGCAGCTGGCCTTTGCGAGATCCGCCGTCCACTCCTCGCGTGTACCATCCTTGGGTTGAGAAGTTAATCAATGGCACCTGGCCCCTATAAAGCCTTCCTGCTTCGGGTTCGCTATTTTGGTTTTCAAAAATACGTAAATCCTAAAACAGGTAGGTTACTTGGTGTCCAGGGACATCAACAAGCAAGATAGTGTTAGCATGTCGGAGTCCACAGCCGCATGCAGCTCAAAGGGATCACCACAGAAAGCCATCAAGTAGCTGCAAAGAGAGCTTGTGCCGGGAGTGAAGAATGCCATCTCTCGATGCTCAAAAAACAACGATCGACAAAATTCGAGCGAGAGCACCAAGCTGGAGGTCAGCCGATTCCGGTTGGCAATCGGTTCTTGCCTTCTGCAACAACCGACGATTAAAAAAGGGGCCTCAATAATTGCCAAAACCATTTTGAAGGCTCCTCATTAAAAATTATAGTATACTGGGTCCCAAAACCCTATTCTACCTAACAAGGCCCCTATTTTATCGGGATCTAGTCTCGAGGAATTGGGATCAGGTCGTGCTTAGGCCCCCCAAATGCTGAGGCCAATGCCAATGATTTTGCCATGGAGGCAAGCCGCTGTGCCTGGTTGCCGTTCAGTTGAAGACGGTGCCGCACAAGTCTTGTGAACTAGAAGAGACAGCAAAGAAGTCTGTATCCACCACGATGGCCGAGTTCATCGGACTCTGCTGACTCTCTGCGGCTATCCCTAAACCCTAAACCCTTAAACCCTAAACTCTAAACCCTCAACCCATCACAAGCCTCATATCGTGCTACCAGTCGAAAGCTGGCCTCCACCTGCAAATCCATTCGCGCCATACTCTCCTCGTGGAGCTCTGCATTTTGCTCCTGGAGACGTACACGCACAGTAGTATGTGTGTATATATATATACATATATATATATATATATATATATATGCACATACATATACATACATATTTATATACATATATACAGACAGATGTGCATATACGTTTACATATATGTGTATGTATGTGTGCATACATATACACTACATGCATACATACATACAGTCAGACATATATGTACATATATATATATATATACATACATATACATAATATGTATATTATACATACCCATGACCTCCTGCGAAAATCCTCAAACCTTGTTACCTGGCGCACTTATAGAGTAGCATCTCTGTACCTGGGGGCTTACATGATCTCAGTTGTCACATTCACCCTGCCGACTGCATTTCTTAATCACCCAGCTGCCGGTGAGCAAAACCTTTAATTACAACGCGTGCTGCTGTTACTGCTATGGCTACTGCTTCTATCGAAGCTACTGCTCGTCATACTCCTACCCCTGCTGGTACTAGCTCCCGCTCCCAGTCTGACTACGACTCCTACTCCTACTCCGACCACTACTACTACCACCACCACCACCACCACCACTACTACTCCTACTGCTCCTACTACTACTGCTACTACTCCTACTCCTACTCCTACTCCTACTCCTACTCCTATTCCTACTCCTACTCCTACTACTACTACTACTACTACTGCTGCTACTGCTACTGCTACCACTACAACAACAACTACTACTGCTACTCCTACTCCTACTCCTACTCCTACTCCTACTCCTACTCCTACTCCTACTCCTACTCCTACTCCTACTACTACTACTACTACTACTACTACTACTACTACTACTACTACTACTACTACTACTACTACTCGTACTGCCAGTGCTGCTAGTGCTGCTGGTGCCGCTAGTGTTGCTCGTGCTGCTTGTGCTGCTTGTGCTGCTGCTACTGCTGCTGCTACTGCTGCTGCTGCGGCTACTGCTACTGCTGCTGCTACTGCTACTGCAACGACGACAGCGACCAGACCTATGACGCAAATCCTCCTCTTGCTGCACTAAAATGTCGGATGATCATCCTGATGTTTATTAGCCAATATAGCGCGCACGAAATTGGGGCTCCAGCTTCTTGCTTGGTCCACCTATCGCTCGCTTTGTGCTTCCTGCATGAAATGTCTTCTTTCCGCAATGAAAACAATGAAAGCTCACATAATGATCAGGCTGGTGATGCAAATGATGACGATGATGATGATCAGGGTGATACTGATGAGGAGGATGAGGATGACGACGATGATGATGATGATGATGCTTATGATGACTATCATCATCATGATCATGGACAGAAATACGCATGCTAGTGCTACTGACTCTGATGATGGCGACGTCTCCAGAGCACACGCACTTGTAGGCCTCCTTTCCAATCGCGGTGTTTCGGCCGTGGAAGCAGTCACGGATGCAGAAGATGTGGAAAATGGATGAAAACGGTGGAGGGCCAGGGAGCTCTCGAAAACCCCGCAGTGACTGAGCCTGAATATCAGCTGCCTGGCATCACTCTCAGCATGCAGCTCGAACTGGTCCGGGTTTGCGGAAGCGTGTCGACTGGGAGAGACTTTCCCCATTCCCACCATGGTGCACGAATTTGGAGTTGTCGGATTCATTGATTTCTGGTGAACAAAACATGAACGGAAAGCCATGCTTCCGGAGAACACCCGTGTCCATCTTCTCCGACAACAGCCGCAAACCCAAGCTCGCATGGAAAGATATTCCCGGGGTGTAAACCCCATCTTAAACCATAAACCCCATCGAACCCCCCAAGCCCTGAACCCTATAAACCCTACACCCAAATCAATCAAAACTAAACCCTCAGCCCTAAACTTTGCGGAACCCCGAATCAATGAACACACCCAAAGGGTCCAAGTATCAGTATGGTATATACTTACAAAATACCCTACAAGTATAGACCGTAATGATACTTGGACCCTTTGAAAAAGCTCTCTGAGTCGATCTCAGAGTGCCGAGCGCTTCACGGGAAAGTACAACCTTCGCTAGTTCTTTTGTGGCGTGTAGGGTTCAGCGTGTAGGGTGTCCAAGGCTCGGGGTTCGGGGATTGGGACTTAGTTCAGGTATAGGGCCAGTGTAGTGGTGGCGGGATCAAAAGGCTTAGGTTATCGTCAACTTCGCAAGCTGGAAAACTCGTGTTATCTGCTTTTCAGGGTGAGGCCTGTGCATGCCACAAGTCTATCCGCAAGTAGACTTCGACTTCTTGCACACGCATGCTTCAACAGGTGCGCTGCAATTAACAAAGGCATACAGGTAGAGTACGTTTCACAGTCACTGTCCCACTGATGTCGTTAGCACTTTGTGGGGGCTTTCAGAGAATAATGTCAGAAATTACTGGGCTCGTCAGTTGGGCTGCCAGTAAACCCTAAACCCTAAACTCTGAACCCTAAACCCTAAATGCAGACGAAGGATCTGGGCCAAAGTTCCTTTTAACTACTACCAACATCACCACAACTGCTGCATCTGCGATTGACCGCAGCTGTTTACATCTAGTTCTGCTACTTCTACTTATATGTCGACTACTACTACTACTACTACTACTACTACTACTACTCCTGCTGCTGCTGCTACTACTACTGCTACTACTACTAGTACTACTACTACTACTACTACTACTACTACTACTACTACTACTACTACTACTACTACTACTCCTGCTGCTGCTACTACTACTGCTACTACTATTACTACTACTTCCAGCACCACCTACAAAGCAACGACAGTGACTACAGCTACGACGACGACTAGTACTAGTGCAGCTACAACTCTGTCAGTACCATTGCGACTGATACAACTTTCAATCATGGCAATTTTCGACTATCTACACCTGCCCGCGTCCAAGCTTCCGGTGCGTGTCCTCAAATACGAAATGCCCGCGACCAACATATGCGGTACTCGGTAGTTCCACGAAACAGAATGGGGGTTTCAGAAATTCAGGGGCAGTTTCCAAGGACCCTTACCATCCACCAGTATACAGCCAAGCTCCTGAAATTCCGTCGAGGGGCTTTCGCTTCATGTCTGGTCGGTTCGAACCCCATGCGAGCTCCTTCACAGCCACGACGGCCTGACCACGCGAGCGCCGCAGAGTGGGGTCTTGGGTTCTGCAAGGTGCTTCGACCGCCCCTTCGCATGTCGTGTGGAAAGAAAGTGGGCAGCTTTTGTTTCGGAACATTCACATTTGCGGGTTCCTGAAACCTGCCTGCAGCACAGCCAAGCTCTCGACTCCTTGTCTTGTTCGACAATTGTTTCGGAGATGATGATGATGGTGATGATGACGACATTAAATTGAGTTCACACCATGATTCTCCCAATCCATCGCACATTGCCACTGACTGGTTGACATGAACACTGTCGATTGAACTATGCCTAAACCTTGTTTGCTCCTAGTCCTAGCCCTAGCCAAAGTCTCTGAACCTACTGGTTACACTAAGGTAAAGGCCGGAAAGTTTGCCAATGCTAATACAATTCCAGACGGCTCCTTGTTATAAGAGTACTCAAAATCTTCGACCCTGTGCTGCTCCTACTCTTGCATCTGCAGCTCCCTTCTCCACAGCTTAGCTGCTGACTATGACTATTATTCTTGTTAGCAATATTCAGTATTTGTAGCTTTTTTACTTATTTAATACTTGTACATGTTATTAATACGATTACGATTGTTCCGATTACTACTCGTCGTATTACTGCTACGACTACCATTATTATGCTTTTTGTTATGATGGCTTAGCCTCCGCATCGAAGGCGGAGTGATTGATCTCCCACCACAGCGAGCCCTTCTCCGGGAAGGGCAGGGCCGCCCATTCTTCCTGCAGTTTAGGGTTAGGGGTTTAGGGGTTTAGGGTTAAGGGTTTAGAGTTTAGAGTTTAGGCGGACCATGCCTGCGGGAATCTGCCAACACTGAGGTCGCTGATTTCTTGCGACCCAAGAACAGAACTGGGTCTTACGATGCGGTCTTTATGCATCTCTATATCGTGCTGCTCATGTGCCTTGTACTTCAAGCTGCAGAGATGCCCTAAGAAGTCAGGCTGCCGGCCAGATTAGAAAGGATAAACACTCCCGAAACTCCACATCCCACAGCTGTATGATTAGCTTCTGGCCGCGGTCCTGCGTAAACCAGCGCGCATCCGCCAGCTCGCCTCAACTGCAGTGCTGAGCCATCATTGACGCTGAGCCAAGACTTGTGTTGACTTCATTATCGCTGTCACTGCCGCACCACCACCGCCACAACAAGCAGCACAACCACCATCGCAGCTGCAGAGAAGGGCATGAGCACCCTCAACATCATCTCGGATAGAAACATGAGGATTTGCAGCAGCGACCAATGACGATGGAAAAATTGCAGCCCCCCAAACACAGCCGCCAAAACACAAGACGGAGACGGGATAAGTTTAACATGCTTGTGAGGATGCCACAGCGATAATTGTCACAACGACGATCGCTGCCATGACGAGAGCAGCCGCGAACACTTGGAAGGTACTGTGGACTGTTAAATCCGCGAAAAATTCGTTGCCCAGACAGCCAGCCCGTACTACCGCTACTGCTGCCCCTACCCCTGCCCCTACCCCCACCCCCACCCCTACCACTGCTGCCCGTGCTAGTCATCTGCACGCGACACTGTGCGCTGCAGGTGAGGCAGCTTGGTGAACATGACGATAGTCGGATCGGCATTCAGATGGGGACTACAAATCGGCAAAGTTGGTGTTCCTTGCTGCTGAAGCAAAGGCCCTTGCTTTGGCACATCTGGATCTCGTTGCTCAGCGCTTTGCCTTCAGAGCTGCACGGAAAGTTGACGGACACAGATAGCGGGGAGAGGGGAGAACCTCAAAAGCCACGAGGGTCTTGCTGTTTGGACTCAAGATCTGAGGCATGGGGAAGCAGCGTGACCCGAGACACGTTTAACGCCGCTCAAGGAAACATGCAAGTGAAGGTTCAGTATGCGAAGACAAGAGCTTACATGGTTGGCTTCGA